GAAACCCTGTACAGGGTTGCTATGAGTCGGAACCGACTCGACGACACATAACAGCAACAACAACAACAACAAAGGCTAGGAGTCCTGGTGTGGCACTGTGGGCTAATGCGTCAGACTGCAAAGTCGTTTGAACTGCAAGGTTGGTAGTTCAAGCTCACCAGCTACTCTTTGGAAACCCTTAAAAGGGTCGCTATGGGTCGGAATCGATTCGATGGCACTTAACAACGACAACAATTGTGGAATAAGCACTCAACTGCTAAATAAAAGGTTGGTAGTTCAAATCTACCAGTCACTCCTTGGGAGAAAGAAGCTTTCTGCTTCTGTAAGGATTTACAGTCTCAGAAAGCTTAAAAAGGGTTGCTGTGAGTCCATGGGAGTACTGGTGTGGCAATGTAGGTTAACGTTCTGGACTACAAGGTCATTTGAACAAAGGTTGGTGGTTCAAGCTCACTAGCTGCTCCTCAGAAATCCTATACAGGGTCACTAGGAGTCGGAACCAACTCGATGGCACTTAACAACAAGAGCCTATTACAGTGGATTAGTACCTATACGCCACTTAGTAGACTCCCAGCTTAAAAAACAAACTAACAAAACCCAGCAAACACATAAAAACAAAACCCTAGATTTCCCTAAGCTGATAGCCAGTTAAGCGCACTTGCATAATGTAGGGTTAATTCCTTTCATATGGAGGAGTCTGAGGGCAATCCATGGAAGAAGACCACACTGGCCAGCACAATAGTGAGTAGCCATAAAATAATACATTATTGTCATTGTTAAGTGCCGTTGAGTCTGTTGTGACTCGACACTGTATAGGGTTTCCGAGGAGCGGCTGGTGTGCTTGAACCACTGGCCTTGCTGTTCAAACTGATCTTGTAGTCCTGAGCATTAACTCATGTACCACAATAGAAATGTTATTGTCAGCTTCTGCTGAGTTGGCCCCCAACTCAGGGCACCCCAATGCACAAAAAACTAAAAATACTGTCCAATTTTGTACCATGCCTATCATTAATTGGGGATCAGGCCATTGTGATCCATAAGATTTTCACTGACTGATTTTCTTTAAGTCTATCACCAGGCCTTTCTTCCAAGTCCATCTTAGGCTGGAAGCTCTGCTGAAAACTGATTCGCCATCATAACAACATATAAGCCTCTAGCATGCAGACAGACAAAAGGTGCACTTGCTAGAATAGAACCTGGGTCTCCAGAGTGGAAGGCAAGAAACCTACCACTGAGCCACCAATGACCTACAGCAATTCCTTATGTTGTGTGGATTATGTGTCAGGCTTTATTCTAAGCATACACTGACAACCCTTCACAGTGGCTCTGTATACAACATAAAATTCCTGGCCCTGCATTGATATGTTTGAGCCCATTGTTGCAGTGACTGTTGTTGTAAGTGCCGTCGAGTCGGTTCCGACCCATAGCGACCCTGTACAGGGTTTCCGAGGGTGTAAATCCTTACGGGAGTAGAAAGCCTCATCTTTCTCCCGCGGAGCGGCTGGTAGTCTCGAACCGCTGACCTTAAGGTTCGCAGCCCGATTCGTAACCACTACGCTACCAGAGCTCTCAAGCCCAAAGTCATCGACAACTAAGGGACAGAGTTGCATTCAAATGCAAACTAACAATGGACATAGACGCACTTTGAGGATGCCAGCATTCTGTTTTGTGAACTTGTTCAAGAAATTAATGTTGATGTTTTTGGAATTCTGTAGGCAAAGGATTCCTAGAAGATGGTAAATGGAGAGGGTATGATTTAAGGTCTAAGAGACATCCTCGCCCCACGCAAAAATAGGACAGGAACCATTATTGTCCCTGGAAGTGTTTACTGATCAACTTCAGTGTGGCTCAGTGTCACTTAATACTAGAGTTAGAGTATTTTAGTATGAACAAACTGTGCAATTTCATGCTTTAAACAGTCAGATACTTCAGGAAGTGACTTTACTGTCAGTGTTCTACACCCCACCCCCACCATCCTACGGTGGGGCTGGGTAATTATATTTTTCACAACAGGGTATTTCTGCATTCTTAGCATCTTGTAATCTATTCAGTTCACAGTTTGGGTACTGGTAATTAGCTTATTCTAATTCCACTTAATCTCAATACCTAATCATCTTTAATAGCACAGGGCTGAATAGAGTGACAGGGAAGACAGAAGGTGACAGGTGAGAGAAGAAATAAGGCCTTCAAATTCATCCTTACAAGAAAGAACTCAACGAGCTTGCATTATACACCCACCCACCTTTGCAAAATGTAAAGATGGGAACAAAGTAATAGAGGTGGGATTAACAGGGCAAATGGTTTTATCAGAATAAAAGGACTCCTTAGCAAACACAATTCCAGAGGAGAGAAACAATGGTGCACACACTTTTTGTTTACACACCTAGAAAGACAAATCCCCAAACCTGCAACATACATTTAAAAAAATAATGAAAGACAGAGGCATCAGTACCTCATTCAGGATTCAGATCCCTAGCCCCATCCCACCTCCTCTTTTAACGTGAAACTAACTAAACTTCACATTTTCTACTGAACTGCAGCTAACAGATCTCGAGAAGGCTTTCCTTTATCCTAATATAAAGTACCATGGGTGGGTTACCAAATCACCTTATGACATAGCAAACAATTAACCTTACTGTTGAAGAAAATCACAG